AAAGAAGAAAAGAAGGAAAGAAAGGTTAAAAAAAGAAGCCATGAAAGAGACAGGTCCATGGGGGCTATAGTCTCTTTTCTGGATATTTTAACCCACACATCTTTAGAGAGCTTAAGAAGTTATGTACTACAGTTATGGGGCTTATAATGTGTGGACAGTTATATAGGTGAGCTGTCCCCATGTTTTTAGAAGTTCTTTTATAAACAAATTTGATTTAAAAAAATCTTTTCAGGGGGCCTGAGTGGCTCAGTCAGTTAAGCATCCGACTCTTGATTTCAGCTCAGGTCATGACCTCAGGGTCATGAGATCAAGCCCTCCATCGGGCTCCGCACTGGATGTGCTCAGCCGGGAGTCTGCTTGAGATTCTCTCCCTCTGCCCCTTTTCTCCCCCACCCTCACCCCACTCACACACTCTTTCTCTCAAATAAAGAAATAAATCCTAAAAAAAATTTTTTTTTAAATCTTCTCTAACCCTCCCTCCTTCATTTCATCATTTAGCTCCGCTGCCCCCCCTTTGGTCAGCGCGGTGCCTTCCGCAACACTCCTACTTGGCTCCCGTGGTTCCGGTGCCCGTGCGTGCTCCCCCCACGTGGCCTCCTGACCGGTTCCTCTGCCTGGAGTCTCTTTCTCATCCTCGACCCTCCTATCAAGTTCATTTTCCCAAAACACGGCTTCTTGATGTCACTTCTGCTCAAAAACTTTTGCAACTCCTCTTTGCTTTTCTGAGCAAGTTAAACTCTTTATTGAGACTCTCAATACATTCTACAAACCAAACCCAATTTACATTTTCCCTGTTTCAAAGTATTGTTTCTCTATTTTGAGCTGACTTCTTTCAGTCACACGGGTCTGCTCTTATCCCCTGGCTCTCCTATTTCCCACCTTCATCCCTCATTTCATGATGTTCTTCCTCCCTTTTCTGGGTTATTCCCAGGCTTTCTGGTCCCAAGTAAAACCTCAGCCTCCTCTTGTGAAGACAGTCACAGTCCCAAGGAATCATTCCTTCTTTGGATTTCTTTAAGGGCAAGGGACTTTTCTTGGGATCATCAAAAATAGTTCCCACTAATTGTTGGATGCCTTTTCAAATTTTGTTTGCTTGTTTGTTTGTTTCCCCAGCTGGTGTACATTCTGCGTGATGGAAAGGTTCTGGAGGTCCTCTGAAACTTATTTTTAAAGTTCTCTCAAACTCTTAATGCATAGCCTTTCTCTGAAAGGCTGAAGGATGGGTGAACACATCAAGCCATATGAGTGCCTTCATCTGTTTAAGGAAAAGGAAATTCCAAAAGTTAAGTGACACCGTTTTCACTCGTCCACCTTCAGGTGTGCAGCATTCACCAACCCAGTCCCCGCTTTGACTCTCTTGTGACACCAAAGCCCTCCTGCTTCTCAAAGTCAATGTGCCCTCATTTGACACCTTTCTCATTCGCCTTAAACCCAACCTGCTGGCTGATGTGTCCTTTGGTCTGGCTAGATGGACTTCTATGTACCTTTCCCTCCGTCATGTCCGCCCTTTCCCACACTTCACTGAAAACACCTTTCTGGTTTCTTTCTAAGAGAAAGAAGAACATGCATTCACTCAGTCACCAAATATTTTTTCCAACCTGTCAGCTAGGCACCGTGCACGATGCAGGAGATAGGATGGTGAATAAGATAGGCAGGGTCCCTGCCCACCTTACACTGACATTCTGGTTGGGGAAATAGACAAATACAAAAATTAGCCTCAAAGTAAACACGGCAAACTGTGGAAAGGGCTTGACTTGAAACAGGGTACTGATACAGAGATGAATGGGGATGGTGGGGAGCATGCAGGAGAAGAGTGCATGCCCATTTTAGACAGAGAGTCAGGGAAGACCTCCCTAACACAGGAGGCTGAGACCTGAAGGATAGGAGGAAAATGGATTCCAGGTTGGAGGCCACAGCTTGTCCAGAGCTTAACCAGTGTGGTGATAGCACTGTGAGGGGTGAGTGGTGTATGATGATGGTGGGAGGGAAGCAGGGCCAGATCACATAGGTCTTACAGGCTGTGAGAAGGAGGTTGGATTATAATCTCAGAACACTGGAAGTAGGGTTCCAGGATAAAATACGGAACACCCAGTTACATTTGAATTTCAGATGAATAACAAATGATTTTTGAGCTTAAGTATGTTCCAATTATTGCATGTGACACGCTTATACTAAAAATGCATTCATTGTTTATTTGAAATTCAAATTCAACTTGGCATCCTGTTCTCCATTTTTTGTTTTTTTTTTTGTTTTTTGTTTTTTTTGCTAAGTCTGACAACCCTAATTGAGAGGCCGCTGAAAGGTTTTCAGTAGGCAAGTGAGGCAATCCAATTTGTATTTTAAGAAGATCCCTTTGGCTGTTGTTTTTTGGAGAATGGTTTGGAGGATAGCAAGAGTTAAATAAAGGCAGAAGTTCAAGGAGACTAGTTAGGTTACATAGCATCCCAGAGAAGGGATAGTAGTGGTCTGGCCCTAGAAGACCAGTGCTTCTCAAACTTCCACGTGCATAGGAACCATCTAGAGATCTTGTTAAAAGGAAGGCTTAATTCAGAAGATTTTCTGTGGGATCTGAGATACTGCATTTCTGATTAGTTTGCAGGCGGTGCTGACCTTGCTGGTTCCTCGATCAAAGGTCATCAAACTATGGCCCATCGGCCATTTTTATAAATAAAGTTTTATTGAAACACAGCCATGTCCATTTGTTTCCATTTTATCTATGGCTGTTTGCTGGTTTCGTGCTATGATAGCAGAATTAAGTAGTTGCAACAGAGACTGTATAGCCCTCAAAATCTAAAGACCGGTGCCCAGCCCTTCCCTAAGAAGTTCACTGACCCCTACCATAGACCACATTTTGCTACTGTAAAGGTCTCGATTCAGGTGATTACCGTGAAGATGGAGAGAAGTGGGCAGATTTAAGACACATTTGAGAGCCCTGAGTGTGGTCTACCCTGGTTCATTAAGCACTCCTCTCTGATGGGAGCCCAGGTACCCTGAACTACATAAAGATGCATAATCTCTAAACCTAAGCTGTTGTGACAGTTGAGAACCTGGCTAATCAATATTGATTCATCTTAGAAATATTTACCCCCTGCGTTCTAAGCTCAAGGGGTTCTACTCAGCACACATTTAAGCATATATAGAAATCCACTGAAGGACACACATAAATGCGAGTGTAAAGATACTATGGCATAGCACCTGGAAGAATCATTTGTCTTGTAAGCAAAAAATTGAAGCTGACTCCTGCTTGTACTTACTGCCGGTTGATTTTCTAACTCTCCCACCTGAACTTCCATGATCTCTATTTTCTCATGGCAGGAGGGTGTCTTTGTAGTAAATCTGGGAAGGGATACCGAGGCATAGTACGATCACCCCTCCTATCACACTCCATCCCTTAGTATGAAGCTAGCCTTTCCCCACCCTCCTCTCTTATCTCTTAAGGGAAGGGAATATCCGATGCTCACGTAAGAGGGAGATCACTTTAAAATGAAACAGAAGATGATTTTAGAAAGCAGGAGAGAAAAACCAATTTTATGTACAACTTTTTTCTTGGCATTCATTTAGAATTCCTAGAATTCCCGCTTTGACAGACCCCCCCCCCATAATAGCCCATGGCAAGAGGCTTGTGTAATACCACACAAGGTATGGTATTTCTTTTGTGCCATACACCTGTAAGGCAATGTCCTCCAACAAAGTCCCCAAATGACTTATCGTTTAAAGGCCACTCCAGGGTTGTTAAGAGTTGTGAATTTCTGGAAATGGTTTTGAGTATTTTAGTTTTCTAGGATGTTGCTTTTATTTCCATTATTTTTTTTAAAGTAGGCTCCACGCCCAGTGTGGCGCCCAACGGGGGACTTGAACTCACAACCTCGAGATTAAGACCTGAGCGGAGATCAAAAGTCTGACGCTCAATGGAGTAAGCCCCCCAGGCACCCCAAGGATGTTATTTCATGCACTGACATGGTAACATCAAATGGTGGCCTAATGATGCATTAACATTAGCCAGTTAATTCCAATTTCTGTGGAACATAATTGACGTCTAGATCACAATGTCACATGTAGATGGCTACCAGGCTTTCTAAAGAGTAGAGGGAAGGAAGCTGGTTTGTCTAGTTAGAGCCCGTGTGGCTCTGTCATGTTCCTAATATTATTATACATATTTCTGTTAAATGTGCCTGCTATTCCTTTTCCCCATCCGGACATTGTGTAACAATAACAACCACAAATATGAGAGATTAAACTTGTGGAGGAGGCTGATCCATTTGACTTGGAAGGCTGAACTTGTTCAAGGATAGTTGAGTCCAAGAGGACCCGGGCTGTTGCTTGCATTCACAGCAAAACTTGAATCTCAGGCCACATTTCCACAAGGGCCAGGTGCATTAGGCGAGAATTCTTCCTTCCAGTGGATGTATTTATGTCAGAATCCAAACAAATTTTCACTTAATTATTAAGCATTGGCAGGTTTGGAACGCCGAGTTGAAAGTGGAGGTGTTCGCCCCATGATCTAATGGATTACATTCTTTTGCATGGGAGAGAAAAAGGCATAAGGCTGAAAAATGTGCTCTCGAGATTTTAATCCCTTCCTTAAATTTTAGATATTTCAACAAACCTGTTTAAATGTCTTACTGCAATGCCTAGGTGCTGAGGCATAGATGAGAGACAAAAAAGAGACAAATAAAGGAAAAAAGCTTCCTTTTCTGGAGGAACTGCAAGAGGAGAAAAGGAAGAAAACGAGTGCCAAGGGATTTTGTAATACGGGGTTGTCTGAAAGGAGATTGGAAGGAAGGTTGGAGACGAAAGATCTGGTCGGCCTCACGTCCTGGAAGCCTTATGAAAGGAGTGTTTTATAAGGAAGAAATCATTAAAAGGATTCACACATCCATTTGCATGAATTAGCCAGCCCGGGAGAGTGTCTGAAATGCATTTCGAGAGCTGACCTGAAATGAAGGTCACTGATTTCCCCATGACATCAGTGCAGCCCGAGCGGAGTTACATTAACAAACCTTTCCAGCCAGTGTTGAAAGATCATTGCCTCCAATTATCTGCATCTCGCCCATGGACTGGTCGTTCTAAAAAAAGTGAAGATAATATTTCACTGTACAGGAAAACCTTTGCAGCACATTTTCCCCGTCTACCCAGCTCGTGGCTCGACTGCGCCTGACAAATGCGGCACAAATAGCTGGTACAGATTCCTGGTTGCCCCTGGTTACCGGGAGCCACTGGCCTGCTACTGTGCAGGAGACAAAGCATTCTGATGGCTCCAGGAGGGGAGAGACTCTGCAGAGAGGGGATGATAAAAGGAGTGGAGAGAAAACTAACAGACCTAATTTTGGAACACAGAAATGATGGGAGGTGCCGGAGCCTATCTTGAGGCAGATGGAATGAGGGAAGGCGGTCATACTCCCGGACCTCCCTGGGCGGATGGGGCTACGGGAGGGGCCCCCAGAAGTGGGCCATGCATTTGTCTGCTAGGCCACCAAGCCCCAGTCCGCTGCCCCAGTGGGGGGCAATCAGATGGTGGTTCCCAAAGAAATTAGGGACCTCCTCTATTCCTACCAACACAGGTCCAGCCCCTCATCTGATGTTGAGGGCAATTCTAACAGTTCACACAGATCAAGAACTATTATTGCACTTAGACCTTCAGCGGTGAATGAAGAAGCCTCAGGAACTTTCTGCAGGCCCAGGAATATGTTTAAGAGACTTCTCACACCAATTCCATTAGAAGTCATGAGTGTTCACTTCCATGATGGTTATATATCATACATCATCCTGTCCTAATTAAACCACACACACACACACACACACACACACACACACACACACTAAACCAAATATGGATTGTTACATAGTGCTTATCACAACAAAGTAACATGGAGGCAGAACAGGAAACAGAGAGCAGGCAACTTGTTTTCTGGCCTCACTGGGGAGACACAGCAAAGGGACTGATGCAGATACCTTACAGAGTGTGGCTTCATGACCAAGCCAGACCTTTCCAGCAATAACCTGAAGGAGAAGGTGATGGTGCAGGCACTTCGTGCAGGATGTGCTGCTGAACCAGGAAACATTTTAGGTCACCACTGTGGCTTTTTTAGCTCAGGGCTTTCCTCTCTTATTCTGGCAAAAAGGCTCTGCCTCTTTCCTGGGAGCGTGGGGCGGGAGCGGGTGTGGTTCATTCCCTAAGGGTCAGGTGGAGCCAGGCCTTACCTAGGTAAACCTAGGTAGCTAGGTGAAATGTAGTTTCAGCTACACCTGAAACTACATTTGGCCTTCGATCTTCCAGCTACTGAAGCCAATTCATTCCCTTATGAATGTTCTTGGGTTGGGTTGAATTGGATTCTGTCACTTGAAACTGAGTCTCTATCTAGGCATGGAGCTACTTTGTCATAGAACTAGTTATCTGGGAAGTCAGAAAGCAACCAAATAACCAATACAACAGTTTCACCAGTGAAGCAGCTTTTGTCTTTTTACCTTACTGCTCAAGAGGGGGAAGATGATGACCTTAAAATGTTTTCACTTCCACTTGGTAAAGCATTCATTCTTTACAGCAATGGAGTAGAGAGGATGCCCCACCAAGTAGATAAGTCCAGTAATTTTCTTCTTATGGGAACTGATCTCAAAAGGAGAAAGTCAAAGAACATTCAGAATTCACAGATCTCTTGCTGTTTTTGAACGGGCATTTATAACCATATATTCACAAGCAGTCATGCAGTATGTTAGGAACTTGTCAAAAATGTCAAAGAGGAAGATTTTCTTATCACTTGTAGAGGTGCTGAGATATAGGAGTTAACATAGGGGGAATGTCTGCATATTAGACTCAAATGTGTTGTTAATAGCAGCAGGAAAAATAAAATTTCAATACCTCCAAAGGATGGAGGTATGCAGAATTGGATGTAACCACTAAGCCACAAAGTTCAACATAACAAACAAGATTTACCCGCTGCCAATCAGAGTAAACTTCATAATAATTCTACTGTCATCTTCATTCTATTGATTAAAAACAAAAAACACAATATATCAGAAAGCCAAATAATGTGCTATAAGTTTCGCCTTCAGTGTGTTGCCAAGCAAGTCTTAGTTCAGAAGACCTTACTTAGAGTCCAAGTTTATAACATGTTTTTTATTATTAGATTTGTCATTAACTCATCTGGAACTTCTATCTTCCAAGTGTCTGTATAGTCAATTGTCCCAATATCATTTACTGAATTGTTGGGGTTTTTTCCCCTACTGGTTGGAAATGTCGTTTTTGTCATATCTTTCATTCTCATATGTGAGGGTCAGTTTCTATACTCTTCTGTTTCATTAGCCTAAATGTCCATTTTAGCATCCAAACCATACTGTTAAATTATTATAGCTTTTTAGTGTGTTTTAGTATCTGGTAGTGTAAGTCCCATTTTTGTGTTCTTTTTTTTAAAAAATTGTCTCGGCTATTTTTGTACATTTATTTGCCTATTTGCTGGGCTGTTATGAAGATCAAATGAATTAATATATACTGATCATTTAAAACAGAGCCTGCCACATCGTAAGTACTCAGTAAATGCTGGATATGATTCATTTCCTTCCCTCCCTCTCTCCCTTCCCTACTTCCTTCTTCCTTCCTTCCTTCCTTCCTTCCACCCTTCCTTCCTTCCTTCCGCCCTTCCTTCCTTCCTTCCGCCCTTCCTTCCTTCCTAGGAAATGGTCACTCCTCAGACCTCTTTGGTACACTGCAGTCTGGAGCTCCCCTGGTTTAATGACTCCAGCAAAGAAGACTTTCCTGTCTTGCTGGGTTGGAGGAGGGAACTTATAGGATCATCTTCTCCATTCATACCCTCCCCATCCCCTTGCTGCTTTTAGCACATTCCTCCATCACTCCATCTTCTAAGAACCTAGTGACTAACTTGTGAGCCTTGCAGGAGTTCTGTGGCACAAATGCTGTACTTCTCATCAGCAATTCCCTCCATAGGCATTTAGAATTTCACTTTCTCTATTCGGCCGAGTCAGTGCCCTCCCTTAAACAGTTTTGCCTCCTAAAAACCACTGCCATCTCTTGCCCACTGAGGTTTTCTCCCCTTCTCTTTGTCCTTGCATATATATACTTCCGTTTCTTTCTTTACTGGCATTTTGATGGGGTTTCAGAAGGGAATAGAGCTAATTGTATGCATTCAATCCGCTGTGTTTAACCATGATATTTTTCTAATGGCTCAAAAGCATCTTTATATTCCTAGGATTGATGTATTTTTTAAAACAACATTGTTTTTTCTTTGATAATATTTTATTGGGGATTATTCATCTTACCTTCATAAGTCAGATGGGTTTATAGTTTTAAAGCACAGTTATACTATCCTCATACAATGCATCGAGTGGTTACTTATTTTTTTTCTATGCTCTAGAAGAGTTTGTGTAGGAATGGATTGATCAGTTTTGCTAAGGTTCAGTAGAGCTCAGTATAGGTATTATTTAACTCCCAACTTACAAACCAGGAACCTGAGCAATGAGCATTTACATAACTTGCCCAAAGAGGAGTTGCTAATAAGTGAAGGGGTCTAGTTCAATCCTAGAATTGCTGGCTCCGTGTTATTCTGGTGTAACCTACCCTTGCCCTTTATGACCAGTATTCCTACAAGAGAGAAACACATAATAAGTCTTTGAGAGGAATCTAGAGAAGGAGTGGGTCCTGCTTATACTAATGAAGTGAAATACATAAGCTCAAATGGCCAAGAGAAGTCGACAACTTGGTAGAAATGCTGGCAGCGGTTATGTTGATTGAAAGAGCCAAGGAAATCTCTGGTATTTAGTCCAGGCTTCCTTGGAAGAAATATTTTGGAAATTTACTAGTTTAGGTGACCTGATCTCCAGGTACCAAGGGGCACGCCCAAGCAGCCCCGCAGGTGTGACAATTCCTCCTATGGAGACTTTGGACTGCTTAGATAATGTTTAGAAGAAAACAGTACTGAGCAAAAATAAATACCCTGAGTTCCTGTCCTTTTGAGGAACAGGAAGGGGAAAAGTATGGAAAATAAATAAACAAAAGAACCACTCTCTAAGCCATTCGTTTTCAAAGTCAGAGACACTTGCTTCAAAATCTGTACACACAAAAGCTTTCTCAATATTTTCAGCCACCACAGATCCCTTAACTTTGCTTTTCCTCCCTATTCGTCTTATCTTTCCTCTCAGCTATTCTGTGCTTAGTAAGGTCATCGATCCTCTATTAAATGGAGATGCAAAACAAAAACCAGAAATACTTCATTATAAGGAGGTTTAATGACCAAACCGGAGAGTTTCTGATTAAAATGGTGCAAACCACTAATTATTATTATTTTTTTAACTAATAATCTGATGCCAAGTCAGGGCACAAGGACAGGTGAATGGGTTCCAGTATCCCTGGTTTTCTTTTCAACCAGTGGTTGATGTAGTATAGGACTCTTAACTGGATCCCTTAGTCCTTTAAGCTGCCTGAGGTCAGAGTGGAGGGCACAGTGTGGTCGGAGCCTACATGGCTTCTGGGCCCCTTGCTTCAAGCAGAACAATTCCACTTGTCTCTCTTACATCGATTGGATTCAAAGTGAGGTGGTGCAAGCAAAAAAAGTTTGAAAACCATCGTGTTAGTGTTTTCTCCTTTGAAATTGACTGACTTTTTGGTTTCCTGTTCATTTAAATACCCATCTGCTTCTGAGATCGTTTGTTTAGGAACTCATTCTTACAACCTATGGGGTGGGGAATTTTGGGTATGCTGTGGAAAGAAGAATGTGGAGATTAAGTGACCAGGTGGCTGGGCTCTTCAGGTCCCCTCAAGGACCAGACTGCCTGGGTTCCACTCACAGCCCCACCTTCTATGAGTTGTATGACCTTGAGGAAGTTACTTAACCGCTCAGTGCCTCCGTTTCCTTATTTATAAAAAGGGTATATTAATCATTCCTACCTCTTAAGATTATTGGAGGACTAAAGGAATTCATGTGCATTCAGCGCTCAGAAAAGTGCCTGGCATGTAACAATTAGCAGTACGTAAAGTAGGCCCTATATTCTCCTAAGAAACTTGCAAATCTTCCTGGTGTCCTAACATTTGACTTTGTGATGTACTCTTTGTTCAGTT